TCCGAAAATAGCACCCTATCGACCCCCCTTTTTTTCAACAGTTTGCGCCCCTGCACTTTTCAAGGTACATCCTGGCCAGAACACCATTCAGGGATATACTGGACTTACTTTAGAAAAAACTAGATGTAAAAATAATGATCTGTAAGGAAGATATACCCCTTTGGTGCTGAGTGACCAACTCCTTTGGCTTGTCTGTCGGTTTGTTTGTATCCAATAAACGTCAAAACGGCTGAACCGATCGGCCCCAAATTTTGTGTGGGACCTCACGTGAACCCAGGGAAGGTTTGTGAATGATCAAAATTTCAAAAATTAGTGTTTAAAAGTTTTTTTTATAAAATTTTGAAAATGCGCGAAAAAAAATATTTTGAAATCCGCAAACTTTTTTATACTGTAAAAAGAGAGAATGCTGCTCTCAGATGAAGCCACAATTGAAAGTTGAAAAAGAAGATGGGCGCGAAGCGCTCTAAAAGCCTAGTTTATTAAAAATGACTAAAACTAATTACTGAAACAATTATAATTCAAACTAAAAATAAGGTGTGAGAATTACTTTTTGATGATAGTGGTTTTCAATTTTGAACAAATCCATCTCTATTTGAAAAACAATTGCTGCATTTTAGCTCATGTCGCGTTTTCGGAACATATTCTGGTTTTGAGACAATTACTCGAATTCATATCAATGTCAATTTTCAAGCATTTTCGCACTTAAGTATCATTATAAGATTTTTTGATAAGGTAAAATAGAAACAAAATAAAAAATAAAAAATAAAAAATATTGTTCTTTTATAATTTAAAAATCATCGAGAAATCAAAATTTAATATTATTTTGTTCTTACAATCATAGAGAATAGAATATATAGAGAGGAATTAAAAGAATCTCTCGGTATGAATTTTTTCAGTCCCTTTCAGCCTGAAAGGGAGTTCAAAGTGTACAAATCATGTAAATGTTCACAAATTATATGCAGTAGAGTACATTAATACAGTATGTTCCCTAGACTATCCATTTCAATTTCGAATTTTTTAAAGCTGTTAAATAAACTTTATAATGAATTAGGTGAATAAAAACATCATTTGATTTATAGTTAAAACGGAAAATCATCGTGTTTAAAGTGGAAGGCATAGAGTCTATGTGAAATGATCATTGGTCAATTATGAAACCAGCCTATTTCATAATTTGGTTTTCTTTTAACAATAATTTTAGATTTTCTATAAAATGATATTCCAAGGTCCAACAGGTTATATAGCATAAATATGTGAAGTACACCTGCAGTATGGAAACAGTACAACAAAATGGCCGTTTTACACTTTTTTCTAGTGAATTCCTCTCTATATATTCTATTCTCTATGCTTACAATATATCGATTTAACTAGAAATCCGGGAAATTGTTTATTTAGAATACGGGAAATTAAATCAACTTTATTCTCTTATTTTACAAATAAAATAGGGAAATAAACTTTTAGAAATAATTAAGCACTTCATTTAGGCTTCATAAGATAATTTTTACTTTCACTGATTTATTTTGTAGGTTATGAAAGTGAGTTTTCTTCTGAATTGACGATTATACTCAAAAAACGGGAAAGTGGGTTTTGTCTCAAAAACGCGACAATGATTAAAATTCAGGATATGTTCGAAAATGGAAAACCTGACATTGTCTTTGAAGCGGTCAAGGGTTTTAATAAAAAAGAACTCCTTTTATAATTTTGATTCCAGAAAATAGTTTAAAGTTGGGAACTGTTGTCCTTGTCATGCTTAATAAAATGTTGGTTATAGTTTTCATTATCGACTTTTACTCTCGATATGGGCCGGGATCCTAAAAACCCCAGTCTTTTAATTTGTGCCCATTTTTCTAACAGTCAGTGTTAGAAATGGGCCAAGTGTTAGTTTTGGAACTAATGTCCCTTGAATTAAGAGCAGACTAAAAAGAAAATTAAAGTTTTTACAGTGGATATTACGCAATCAGGATTAAGGATATCCAATTCTAAAGTTTTCAGCTCTGGCTAAATAATAATTTCCAAAATAGTAATTAAAATTTGAACCATGATCAATCTAAATTTATGTTGTTATTATTGTTTAAATACAATACTGAAGCTCCTGTCCAACCTGTGCATTGTGCAATGTGCTTACATAGCAAACTGTTGATAATTTAGTATCATTATGTCCAACCTCTGTATATTTACTTACATTCAGCTACATTGTTTCACTAAGAACATTCCCATGGTTCCCCAATCAAAATTTTAGGCAAATCGGTCAAGGGACTCCTGAGTTATGATCGGACAAACAAGCAAACAAAGATTACTACTTTATATATATTTTTTTATATATATATCTAGGATAAGTCCCCTAGTGGATGATCTATCTCTAACAATATATCCTCCCTTGGTTTATATATGTATATATATATCTAGGATAAGTCCCCTAGTGGATGATCTATCTCTAACAATATATCCTCCCTTGGTTTATATATTCATATATATATCTAGGATAAGTCCCCTAGTGGATGATCTATCTCGAACAATATATCCTCCCTTGGTTTATATATATACATATACATATCTAGGATAAGTCCCCTAGTGGATTATCTATCTCTAACAATATATCCTCCCTTGGTTTATATAAATATATATCTATATCTAGAATAAGTCCCCTAGTGGATGATCTATCTCTAACAATATATCCTCCCTTGGTTTGGGAAGAAGCTAAGGAAGCAGCTTGGAAGCTTAAACAAACTCTTGAGGTTAGTCAGATCAAAGAAATTTAGTATTAAAACTGGTTCATGTTTTTTATCAACAGAAAAATCTGATATATGTAATAATTGTACAGATACATTGCTTATGAGGTGTCAATGCATCCTGTTCTATTTTTGTTAATACTCCCTTTAATCTATATTGGGGATTCGTGTTAATGTAATTAAACCCATCAAACTGTGGAATAAAGAATGGGTGTTTGACTTAAAGGGAGTGTTAGCGAAAAATGAAAGGGGGTATAGGCTTACTGCGAAAAAATAAGCGCTTTTGATCGCTACTAATCTTACTTAGCGTCCATACAAATTCAGAAAGTTGCAACATAATCAATTTAATTTCAAACAAATCATTCAGATATTAGAAACAATGGTCATCGATCAAAAGCGCTTATTTTTCGGCGAAAGCCTAAACCACCTTTCATTTTTCTCGAACACTCATTTAGATTTTAAATATTCAAATCAACATGAAACATTCAATTGTGCCAGTCTGCACACACACACGGACCCAGTTAACCTTTAGTTGAGTTTAAGTTACTATTATTCTTTTTTTAGCAACATTAGTTACGCACAAGTTTGCTTGAATATCTTCTTTCTATTCCCCAGTGTGTTTGATCCACTGTATTTAATCCGGATTTGTATTTTAGGAAATATTGGTTCATCTGACGAGATTAATACAAGGAGAAGGGATAGATATCTCTTGGCTGGAATTTATTAACAAAGCAGTAGCTCATAATGCAGCAGAGATTCAGAGAGTTTTTATACAACATGGTTTAGCAGAGTTATCATTGTCCTAGTCTCATTCAGAGAGTTTTTATACAACATGGTTTAGCAGAGTTATCATTGTCCTAGTCTCATTCAACGAGTTTTTATACACCATGGTTTAGCAGAGTTATCATTGTCCTAGTCTCATTTAGAGAGTTGTTTTTCACAATATGGTTTAGCAGAGTTATCATTGTCCTAGTCTCATTCGGAGAGTTTTTATACAACATGCTTTAGCATAGTTATCATTGTCTTAGTCTCATTCAGAGTTTTTATACAACATGGTTTAGCAGAGTTATCATTGTCTTAGTCTCATTCAGAGTTTTTATACAACATGGTTTAGCAGAGTTATCATTGTCTTAGTCTCATTCAGAGTTTTTATACAACATGGTTTAGCAGAGTTATCATTGTCTTAGTCTCATTCAGAGTTTTTATCAGAGTTATCATTGTCTTAGTCTCATTCAGAGTTTTTATACAACATGGTTTAGCAGAGTTATCATTGTCTTAGTCTCATTCAGAGTTTTTATACACCATGGTTTAGCAGAGTTATCATTGTCTTAGTCTTATTCAGAGTTTTTATACAACATGGTTTAGCAGAGTTATCATCGTCTTAGTCTCATTCAGAGTTTTAATACAACATGGTTTAGCAGAGTTATCATTGTCTTAGTCTCATTCAAAGTTTTTATACAACATGGTTCTGAATTCATACCGAGAGTTTTTAACATGGATTGCAAAATCATTGTTATTAAATGAGAGTACTTGTCATGGCCATCAATCTCAATATGTATACACTTGTTGAACATTGTTGGCTTTTTCTTACTAGTTAAATTACTAATATTCTATTTTTTTCAGATTCATTCAGAACACAGATTTAAAATGGCAGAAGCAGCTCAAAGCAGGGTTCAGACCGCAATCAAGGTGATAAGCAAGAATAGTTTTTCTCAACATTTATTATTGGAATTTTTTTTAAATTATACATTGCATTTAGAGATTTTACCTTTGATTTGACCATTTTCTTGCTTTTTATTTGATTTTGGGAATGTCGAAAGGGTGTGGTTAAAATCATTTTTGAATAAGTGTATAAAACTTGAATATTTGTTATTCTAAATTTATAATCATATTGAGTTATGTTTATTGTTTATTTATTGTTTTAAAGATTTCAATGTTTTATTCACCGATTTCATTACGTTACCCCAGAACCATTAATTTTATTAAGCTTCTCGTCGTGCATATCCTCGGTCTTTTGAAATGATTTTAAGCTGAGAAAATAGTAGATTTTAGTGCAAGATACTGTTTTAGTAAGATACTAGGCTACAAAAAAGAAACATGCCTCTACATACGTAAAAGAAAAAACATTATCGGCAAAACATTCATAATTTGTTCCCACACTAGAAAACTGGTAATTATCTAAATTATTTGAGCGATGCCGTCAATTATTTATTTGAAATTTAAATAAATATTTTGTTGTTAAGGATTTCATCAATGAGATAGATAGAACTAAGCTGCGTGGATTGGAGAGAAGTATGCATTTATGCGCAGCTGATTGTTGTACAGACACTACTGCCACCGTAGAGGATGTACATAGATGTGTAGAAAAGTGCCAGGTAAGTGTACATATTGAACCATGTACTGTACACTCTACATAGAATTGTAGAGAATTGTCAGGTAAATGTACATATTGAACCATAAACAGTACACTGTACATAGATGTGTAGAAAAGTGCCAGGTGAATGTACATATTGAACCATATACTGTACACTGTACATAGATGTGTAGAGAAGTGCCAGGTAAATGTACATATTGAACCATATACTGTTTAATACATTACAATATATTATTTAGTCAGTCTTTAAATGGACTGTAAGTTTAACTTTAAATGACCTGCCATGCAAAAATGGCAATGTATGATTCAGAACGGTACCCAAGAAACCTTTATCAGACAATTATGTGGAAGATGTTGGACCGCTTTTTTTAATGGTACCGTTGTGAATCCTTGCTCAGACAAAAGTTTTAACGGGTACCGTTGTGAATCCTTGATCAGTCAAAGGTTTTAAAGGGTACCGTTGTGAATCCTTGATCAGTCAAAGGTTTTAAAGGGTACTGTTGTGAATCCTTGATCAGACTCTTGATCAGACAAAGGTTTAAAGGGTACTGTTGTGAAGCGGGGTTGGCCCTCTTTCAATAGAAGGTCGCTAAAAATTAAGCTTACAGTCCCTTTGATGTACATTATATCCAAATTACATGTTCAAGTATTTTAATTCGAATGAAAAGATTAAACAAAGTTTCAAATTGTCATATTTTACTTGTATAAGTTTATTTTGATTTATTTATCATGTTATTTTTTTATTATCTTTTATTTAATTGTTTTCAGGGCCCAACCCAGAGATCTCAACAGTATGTACAGAGTGAACTTGAGAGATTTCAGGAAGCATTGTCAAGATGTGTTCTGCAGTGTCAAGATGATGTCAAGGATAAGGTAGGTTTAGTCAAGATATGTTCTACAGTGTCAAGATGATGTCAAGGATAGGTAGGCTGAGTCAAGATGTGTTTTACAGTGTCAAGATGATGTCAAGGATAAGGTAGGTTTAGTCAAGATATGTTCTACAGTGTCAAGATGATGTCCAGGATAGGTAGGCTTAGTCAAAATATGTTCTACAGTGTCAAGATGATGTCAAGGATAGGTAGGCTCAGTCGAGATATGTTCTACAGTGTCAAGATGATGTCAACGATAAGGTAGGTTTAGTCAAGATATGTTCTACAGTGTCAAGATGATGTCAAGGATAGGTAGGCTTAGTCAATATATGTTCTACAGTGTCAAGATGATGTCAAGGATAGGTAAGGTAGGTATAGTCAAGATATGTTCTACAGTGTCAAGATAATGTCAAGGATAGGTAGGCTCAGTCAAGATGTGTTCTACAGTGTCAAGATGATGTCAAGGATAGAAACGCTTAGTCAAGATATGTTCTACAGTGTCAAGATGATGTCCAGGATAGGTAGGTTTAGTCAAGATAAGTTCTACAGTGTCAAGATAATGTCCAGGATAGGTAGGTTTAGTCAAGATATGTTCTACAGTGTCAAGATAATGTCAAGGATAAGGTAGGCTTAGTCAATATATGTTCTACAGTGTCAATATGATGTCAAGGATAAGGTAGGTTTAGTCAAGATATGTTCTACAGTGTCAAGATGATGTCAAGGATAAGGTAGATTTAGTCAAGATATGCTCTACAGTGTCAAGATAATGTCAAGGATAAGGTAAAATTAGTCAAGATGTGTGTACTGCAATCTCCAGAAGTGTGTACTGTAGTTTTCTAATTGTTGTTTAGGTTGGACCTAATACCTCAGAGACTGAGATCCGTAAATATCGCGGAGAGTTTGAAACCTGCGCCATTGCTTGCTGTGACAAGTAAGTTTAAAGGGACTGTAAGCGTATTTTAAAGTGTCCTTCATGCAAAGATGGCAATGCCCGGTTTACAACGATAATCCTTGAAAGCTTTGTCTGATCAAGCCGGAATTAGATTGTTTATAATCCTTAAACTGATTTTTTCATAAGTTTTTTTTTAAACATCAGTGACTTGTACATTTCTACTGCAGAAAAATATTTAGGATTCAGAGAAACGACAATATCTTCCACATCAGATAAAGAGTTTACAGTCTGGATATTTACGTTTCATTGTTATACAACTAAGGTTAAAGATTAGCTAGATTTTTATACTCGAAATCTGCTTTTCGTCAAAAATTATATATATATTTATTTATTTAATTTGTTTAGCACAATTCTTTCTTTTAATAAAGCGTGAAGTCATAAACTGAAATTTATCCATATCTAAACACATATAAAGATATATATAATATAATAAGATAATATGAGGGTAGCTCTCCTCCCCTCCCCCTGCCGCCATTCTCCACTTAGTAAAATGAATTCTTCTCCGCTTAAAATTGTAATAATTTGTTTCCCCGAATTTTGTTGAGATATTTAATATGTTATTATTTTTATTTAATGGAAAACATTATTTCTCGGAACCATTAAACTAACCATCCACCGGTTCAAGCTAAAAGATTGAATGTAAAACAATGTGCTTGAAATGTTTAAACCATTTATATAAATTCTAAACCTGCGCGCGTTTATTTTTCCAATGGACGGAATGATAGTTGACGAGAGATTTTTATTAAAATGCGCGCGTAGTATACAATTTTCTATGTCCGATGTCCACAACAGAAATTAAATCTAATAAATAAAAATGTCTTTCGTTTTTTTCCGCTAATCAAAATTTGGGTAGTATGGTGATACTTTCATATGAATCCGATTTGGAGAAGTTTTAAGAAGATCAGCTGCGCAACGTTTCTTGAAACATGTTTTAACAATTTTTGTACACGTTCTGGTCTAAAAACTACTATAGCTTACTCTGTGTTTGTTGGATATATTTCGAGTGACTCTCCGCTATTCACAATTCTTAAAATCGCTAGCTGATCAATAACATGGGAGAGATCGTTGTTTTTATAGATCGAAAAGAGTTTAATTCTAACAATTTTAGTTATTGTTACTTAAGCCGAAATGCGCACAAAACTTACTATAGAAGTTTAGAAACCACAGTTGAAAAAGAAAAAATTACTCAGATCTCGATAATAAAAAGCTTTATGAGTACTGTTGTGAATTAGTCACGCCACTTCATAAATGGAGGTTCACTTGAAATTACATTTACAACCTCTTTAATAAAAAATCCTTAGTCTTACATTGAGACTACAATTAGGATAATAATAATTGTTGTTTAGGAATATAGCTAAACTGCCGAATCTGATGGAGAAGCTAAAATCCGCGTTTAACTCTGGACCAATCTAGCCCTGGGGGTAGAATACCCAGCTAACAATGCAGTCATAGGTTCAATAAAACAACAATTACCTTAATGCATTTTCCGACATATTTTTTGTTCTAATTTTTCCCATTTTTTTTTAATGATGCCAAGTGCATAATTTTTGCCTTAATTGAGCAGCTTAGGTAACCATAAAAGGCAGTGCTAAGGATCCGGATACAAGTTAAAGGGAGTGACCGGCAATGTATGGTAGTTGAACTGAGAATGTAGTACTGTGGAGAAATCTTTTAGGATTCATTCAAATAAAACCTTTTATTGATGTATAAATACTGAGTTTTTCAATAATTTTAAAAAATCGATTCCAAAAACGTAACCTCCCAAAAGGATGATTTTGAACGTCGACTTTGTGATCAGACTCCGTAATTATAAATCATTAAAACGTTTTAAATGTCTCAAATGAATCCTAAAAAATTTCTCTACGATACTAGATTTTCAGTTCAACTACCATACATTGTATGTCACTCCCTTTAAATTGTATTTAATTTTACATTTGTTTTGATGAATGAAATTAGTGAAAACAATTTATTTCCTAATAAACCTTTAAAAACATTGATCGTAAATGATATATTACAGGAATTCTGATTCTATGCCTGTCATTGATCTATTATGCTATTCCATATTAAAAGTAATGTTGGTTTGTTCGAGGTAGTGAAGAAGAGGGATCTAATGGATCAGTTTAAATACCTTGATCTACGCTTAACCCTGGTATTCGGGCCCTCCTCTCTACCCTCTACGTCAGGATATCTGTACAAATGTTGGAACCGGTTTTTAAACTGCTGTTTGGCACTGTGTTCTTGAGCTTGGTCGGTAACCTGGTGTTAACGTTAATATATATATTTGTTAAATTTCAGAATCTTGTTGTGTTACAATGGTCTACTTTACCTGTGGGGACTGTGGAGAACAGGTACTGTACTGATTTATACCGCAGTAGGAGAAGTTACAGTGTACATAGATAGGCTGTATTGCAGGAGGGGTTACAGTATTTATTTGCTGTACATTTTCTTATGGAGAAAGGGGTTCGAGCAGATTTCTGCTAACTACATGAGTTCGAACGGGATATTGCTCGGCTCATAGCCGCATGCCCCCCCACCCCTTCCCTCATATGTCCATATATTTAGGAGGGGTTATGAACGCATACATATATAAAATATATATATATATTCAAATCATGTTTTGAATACTTATTTTCTTACATATATAATATTTATGTAGGAAGTATTAGTATGTGGATTTGGTACTTCATAAACATTATGTGACTTAACTTTAATTTTCTAATGCTTAAAATTTTGCAACCTGAGATGGAATTTAAAGAATTTGAGCCGCGGTTTAAATCCGCCAAAACCCGTTTTAAATTAAGCGCCGGCTTAGATCTTGAAACATTTGATACAATTTTAAGTGTAACAACCATATTTAAACCGCGCCTTAAATTTAAACCGCCGCTCAAATTCTTTAAATTCGGCCACTGATGAAGTAAACCTTTCAAATTTCAAACGTTGGCTAAAAGATAAGAAAATTTAAGTTTAAAGGATTAGAACATTGAGTTTGTGGCAAGTGTTCTGTTGTCTTAATGGACTCGAAATTCTTGCAAAAGAACTTAATATCCTGAAATGTTTATTCTGAAGGATAAAAGTTTGAAAACAACTCCAATATACTGGGTTTATACAACTCTTCTCACATAAACTTGTTAAAAAGTTAATCTTTATTTCTAGATATTCGTTAAAGTAAACAAATCCAACCTCGCTGTACAATACAGTATAGATACAAATTTAACCAATAACAAACTTTTAAAACTTAATCTTTTATTGTAGATCAAGAAACCGAGCGTGGAGAAACATTATCAACAGAAATGTAGAAACTGCAACCTCCTCACATGTATAGACTGTCTTAAGGTATTGTAACCCAAACCAAACCTCCATCTTATTTAAACCGAACTATAACTCTTTCTTGTTTTACCTAAACCAAACCTCCATCTTGATTTATCCAAACCTAACATCCATCTTATTCTTGGATTATCCAAACCATATCTCCATCTTGGTTTATCAAACCATATCTCCATCTTGGTTTATCCAAACCATATTTTCATCTTGTTTCACCCTAACCAAACCTCCGCGTGCTGACGGATTTTAATGTACTTGAATCAATTTCGTTCACTAAACTTTAAAATATTTTTAAATACATTTTTTGTATTAAGTGTATTTTATGAAGTGAGGTTATTGTTAATTTTGATTTCGAGGTTATTTTAAGTAAATACGTTTTATTAAATAGTTTTTTATAGAGAATGATTATTAAACCGTCTAATTGATGTCTAATGGAAATTTTTTTCCAAAGAGCGGAGGTGGAAATTAATTAAAATGTGACTTGAACATTTTTTCTTTTCTTTTTTTTTGTATTTTTTGCAAATCTTTTTTTTATATTCATCTTTACTCATAATAGATGAATCAGTGTCTAAATCAAGTTTACCAAAATAATTCACCAAACATATTTTTTTTTTAAATCTTAAATAACATATAATCTTTAAACTTAATCTTTGAGTAACCTTAGTCTTGAAGTTGTTGGTTTTTAGAACTTAAAAACAAAGATAATATCGCTTCGGCTTTGTTTGACCATTTAACTTGCCTGATTCAATTGGGGTGGGAACTTTTGTGGAAAGTTAGATCGAGTTTTCAAATCCCGATTCAAAATGGTACTCTTAAAACCATTGTCTGATCAATAATGTGGAATATATCGTCGTTTTTCTAAGTTTTAAACATTTCTAATTCATACTTGATTAGACAAAAATGTGAAGGGTACCGTTGTAAATCGGGCATCGCTATCTTTGTATTGAGGCTGATATGAAAATACAATTTCTATTAAAAGTTATGAAAAAAGTTTGTTTTAGGATTTCTATGGGGATGAATATAAGGCGCACAACCAGTGCATGACAGAGGATCAGAGGTAGAAACTAGTTTTTATATATATTTTTTTAATTCTTTCCGCGTCCATTTTTTACTTGTCGGATTGAGGATCGGGATCCATTTCTTACTTGCCGGATTGAGGATCTGGATTCATTATTTACTTGTCGGATTGAGGATCGGAATCCATTTCTTACTTGCCGGATTGAGGATCTGGATTCATTATTTACTTGATGGATTCAGGATCTGGATCCATTTTTTACTTGCCGGAGTGAGGATCGGGATCCATATCTTACTTGACGGATTCAGGATCGGGATCCATTTCTTACTTGACGGATTCAGGATCGGGATCCATTTCTTACTTGACGAATTCAGGATCGGGATCCATTTCTTACTTGACGGATTCAGGGTCGGGATTCATTATTTACTTGATGGATTCAGGATCTGGATCCATTTTTTACTTGCCGGAGTGAGGATCGGGATCCATTTTTTACTTGACGGATTCAGGATCGGGTTATTTACTTGATGGATTCAGGATCTGGATCCATTTTTTACTTGCCGGAGTCAGGATCGGGATCCATTTCTTACTTGACGGATTCAGGGTCGGGATTCATTATTTACTTGCCGGATTCACAGTTGTTTTCCTACAGCCTATGATAACAGAGCTCTGTTCAGAAAGCTCTCTGCACTATTTGAAGTGGACGCTGTGAAAGGTGTCTGCCCATATGGAGGGAGGGAAGGCCAAGCGGCCCTCAACCCCGCGCTCAATTAGAAATCGGAGCCCTTTCTGGAAGGGCCCTTGCCCTGCTCCCTGAGCAGAGGTGTTAAAAGGGGACAACTCCGCATTCTGCATAAAGCGGTGCACACTTAATGCGATACTTTCTAAGGGATTCCGCTGGGCTGGGAAACAGTATAAATATGATCCTGCACTGTCTTAAAATGGAGCAAAGACAGCGACTCGTAAATATTCTTTCAAAAGCAGTGCCATAAAGGGACGGGCAAAGATAGGCAAGAAAAAGATAAACCGCAGACGGCAGATGAAGAAAGGAGGGAGGATAAAGATGATTGGTGAACATTTGAAATTATTAACTATGCCTTATACCATTTTATTTTACAAAAGTTATAAAAAAAAAATTATAATATCATTGTTTTAAAAAGCTTGTCGGATTCAGGATCTAGATCCATTTTTTTGCTGTCGGATTCAGGATCCAGATATATTTTTTACTTGACGGATTCAGGATCTGGGTTCATTTTTTATCTGACTCATTTAGGATCCAGATTCAATTTTTATCTGACGGATTCGTGATCCGGTTCCAAATTGTGACGTTGTCATACTTTCATAATGTAAAAATTTTACGCTGTCATGGAAGTAATGTAAAATTATAAATGTTCTGTTGTGCTGTTATTTTTTCTTATTTTCAAATTGTCTTGTCATGTATCAAAATTTCACGTTGTGTAATGTTACTGCTTTGCTGTCAAATTTTCATGTCAAATTGTCATCTTGTCTTGATGTCAAGTGTTCATGGTGTCATGTTGTCATGTTGTCAAATTGTCATGTATTAATGGTATCAATTTGTCTTGTGGCCTGGTTTTATGTTGTCTTGTTGTCTTGTTGTCTTGTTGTCTTGTTGTCATGTTGTCATGTTGTCATGTTGTCATGTTGTCTTGTTGTCATGTTGTCTTGTCTTGTCTTGTTGTCATGTTGTCTTGTTGTCTTGTTGTCTTGTGATAATTTTGTCATGTTGTCTTGATGTCTTGATGTCTTGATGTCTTGTTGTCTTGTTGTCTTGTTGTCTTGTTGTCTTGTTGTCTTGTGATCATTTTGTCATGTTGTCAACTTGTCATGTTGTCTTGTTGTCATCTTGTTTTATGTTTAATGTGTTTAGGTACAGTAAAGAGGGAAGGAATGGATATGATCCAACTATAGGCAGCAAAGGTAATTCATTCATAAAGATAAAAATATGGAATTTAAGTTTATTTTTGTCTTCTTTTTTCCTGGGGGGGGGGGGTAATAGAAAATTGGACATTTGGACATCTAAAGGTTTTTTTATACTGTTCCCCAAAAATTCATCGATTTTTCCCTATAAATAATTTACTTTTTATTTCTAGTAGAAAAAATGATTTTCTGAAGGGGGGTTAAGGGGGGGGGTAAGAAAAATGATATTTCAAGAAAATATACCTTTTTATCATAAATTTGGAATGTTAAAGTACAAAAAGTTGAGGACCCCAGGTGCTTATTCTTATTTTTTTTTATGAAATCGGATGAGAAAACAAATCAATGTTTCGTAATCTAGAAAGGGATTTTGACAGTTTCAAGTGATCCACTCAGTTGAATAGTTGGATGTCACATTCACAACGATACCCTGGAAATCTTTGTATTCGTCAATTCAATTATGATTAAATAGGTAGTGTTGCGAATGGGACATGTGAATTGAGTGTCATTTGGTATTGGGCCGACATTATTTTTACTAATGCCCTAAATCTGAAAGTAAATTTTTGTTCAGGAGAAATGAAGCAGTTGGCCTGGATTGGTAAACTCCGAGGACTGCTTGAATCTACTGAAAATATTGACAAGGATGTGAGAGGCATTGTTGATACTATTCTTAATCATGAAAATGTGCCTAGGAAGCGACCTAAGGAAAACAGACAGATTTGCGAACATAACACAGCGGGACCCATTAAACAGTGAGCATGAAGACAGCAATTGTGCAATGTACATAGTCCCATTTTACTTAATGGGTTGATAATCAAGTAACAGAACTGAAAACTTTAGGATGGTGGATATTGAGATTAATGCCTGATCCTCTCTTTTTCTTAATTTCTCGAGACTAACTAATCTTGTACTTGTATCCTGATTTAAGATTATGTACAGAAACGGGATGGATTTTCTAATTTAGAAAAACCGGTTTTTGATTTTTCTGTACTATATCCAAGAAAGAACGGTTTAAGAAGAACATCAAAAGTGTGTCCATTGGATACTCAGATTAAGAAATCGGGATTAAGGATAGCTCATTCTAAACTTTTCAACTCTGGTGAACTATTTGCTTGTGTAAGATTCCATAAATAACGCGCGGGGGGGGGGGGGTACATCAAAAGGCAAGTTTTTTTCTTCACCCTACCATCTGGGGGAAATGATTTCTCAAATAATTTCCCTTTTAACCTAATGATCTGAAAAATCTGTCTGTTTTTGTAGTTCGTAAATTTTGTCAAGAATATTATGCGGAACAAGGCCTCCGTGACCAGCATTGATAAAACATGGGATCTCTTCTCACAAGTATGTTTTTTCTTTTATTGCATCTGAGATTTCCAGTAGCTCCTCGAGCTCTGTCATTGGTGGTATCCTTATAAGCTTTGTCTGATTGCAAACTGATAACTTTTGATAGTGGTTTCTTATTAACTTTGCTTTAAAAACAACGGAGTAAAATTACAGAATTCAACACTAATACTAACACTTCTAATAGTATATAATTTGACATTTTATCAGCAGTTTTATTTTATTAAATTATGAATAAAAAATTAAATTTATAATTTCTTAAGGCATTGAAGCCAAGTGCTGAAGAAGAAACCAAGATGGAGAATTCCCAGACGGAATCAAAAATGGAGGTCGAAGAGACAAAACCCGGGAAAAAGGAAAAGAAAAAGAAGAAGAAGAAAGATGCTGACGAGGATCCTACCCCCACACCTGAACCTGAACTTGTAGAAGAATCTAGGAAATCGAAGAAAAAGAAGAAGAAAGAGAAACATCTGGAAGAACCTGAACCTACTCCTCAGCCTAAATCTAAGAAGAAGAAGGAAAGTAACAAGGAGAACACGGAGGACCAGAAGGACCAGGTGGAGGAGGAGAATAAGACAAACAAGAGAAAACTGGACGAATCAATGGAAGTAGATGAACCTAGTTCTAAGAAAACTAAATTTGATTGGGATGAAACTATATCTAGTCTGCTTAGCAAGGAAAGTTCAATCACAATATTCATAATTTTAAAATGGCGGCAGGGTCATTGAAAAATGTCTTTTCAAAATTCAAAATTTTTCTCTAGTCAATCCCATGATCAATCAGTTATCTTTTGGGATTGATAAAATTCAACTGTTTGGGAAATTGAGCCTTGGGGAAATTGATCACTGTAGATTACAGCATTGGGGAAATTGTTCACTGCAGATTACAGCATTGGGGAAATTGATCACTGCGGATTACAGCCTTGGGGAAATTGATCTATTCAGATTACAGCCTTGGGGAAATTGATCACTGCAGATTACAGCCTTGGGGAAATTGATCACTGCAGATTACAGCCTTGGGGAAATTGATCACTGCAGATTATAGCCTTGGGGAAATTGATCACTGCAGATTACAGCCTATGCGGTAAAGGGAGTATTTTTACAGTTTTTATTATTTGCTTGAGCTGATGTTACAGGGAGAGGAAATAAAACTAAACAAGCTGAAGAAAAAGTGTGTCTCTGAATTCTTCGCTCAGCACGAGGGGACGCATAAAACTGCGGAGGAGGTTGGCGCCAAGTTTGACAAGAAGATCAAGAAGAAGAAATACAGGATTCTCAAGGATAAAGTCAAGCTGATTCCAGACGAGCAGGAGGAGGAGGAGAAGCATGAACAAGAGCAACCTCGTCCTGATCAATCCAAGGCAAGGGGATTCGAGTGATAAATCTTAAAGGCACTGTAGATGTAATTTCAATTTGAAGAGAGTAATTTCTAAGGTCACCCTTATCAACCCCCCCCCCCCTAGTATAATTGGGTTTTTTTATAAGTGTATGGTGGCAAATCTTTTTTCAGAGGGTTTATCAAAAAGGCTTCAAGGCCTCAAGGTCGTTGTTCTAATTTACTAGATCAGGAAAAGTAGTTAGACTCGGTACAGATTGTTTTTTTCTTGTTAGGCTGAGATTGTGCCTAAGAAGTAGTTCAAATATCCGTACCTAGTTTTAGTACTCTCCTGATCTATAAAATCCGACCTTTTTGATAAACCCCCTTACTATTAATTTGCCACTATATACTAAATTCCAAAAAACTAAGTGGTTATAGAGGAGGGGGAAGGGTAAATAATTTTTTACGAAAATTAAAAATTGCATAGCTGTATGTAAATTTGAAGGCATGAAAGCGATATGAATAGTTGATTTTATACTACAAATAATCTGTTCTCAATTCATTTTTAATAATTTGTTGTAAAAACATGGATCCCGTAATCCAGGATAAACTGTCCTTCAACAAGTGGGAGGCGACCAACCTTGGTAATGATGCACAGACTGAGAAATTCCGTCGATTGATGGGGATTAAGACGGATAAACCTCCCCAGGTGGGTAAATATCATATCTGGCGGATTTAGACGAGGGGGGGGGGGCATACAGGGTTAATGGGCGGAGCCCATTTCCCCATTCCCCCCCCCCCCCCCCCCCCCCCTCTCTGTTACTAAAACTAAGTTTTGAGTGTGTATTTCAGGTTTGAATATTTTCTTGAAATTACCCCCCCCCCCCTAATTGATAACAATTTGTTTTACCTTGAAAATAATAGATAGGATTCTTCTATGTAAGAAAGTAGAACCAAACCATTTCAAAAGAAATGAATTTTCGGGATTATGTCATAACTGATGAAAAAAAAACTTGCCTCCTGATTTCCAATTTTTCATATTTTTTTTAATCCCCCCCCCCCCCTCCTTGCTCCGGGTGGTGTTCTTAAAATATTACTTAACTGGTTTGTTGACTTTCCAATATGATGTAATTGGACAGCTAGGTGTAGTGTTAACAGACAATATGGCACAAGTCTAACCTTCATAAAACCTAGTTCAGCAAATTTTATATCGTCTCCATCTTTGGTTTTTAACTTAAACCAGGATTCTTCAAACTCGGTTCACATTAAACTGTAAACTGTAAAATAATTTTAATTCTGATACTACATTTTGTCTGAGAAAGGTATATAGAAAAACATATTTAAAATATTGAGAATTTTATTTAGCTTGCAAATACAATACTACTTATATACGTCATAGATTTGAACCCTTATTCGAATAATAAGTAGATTGGATGTCATCAGCTCTTTCAAAAGGTTTAGGGTTTTTAGGTTTAAGGTCTAAACTTGTTATTATGACTAGAATTTTTAAGTCTAAATATCTTTGTTTAGAAATTCATTTCTTCAAAGTTTCAAACTCAAAGTCTACAAATGTAGTTTACAATTTAATTAATATATAATTCATTAATTGGCGCCAAAAATTGTCAGTGCTCCGCCCCCACCCCCACCCTAAAACTCAAGTAGTCGCCCCTGGAATATTATTTTAACAAGAAATCCGCGAAAAAATGTTTTGCATATATTCACAAAATCTGTTACTAAGTTAATTCTCTCATTATAGAAAGTTCCATTTTATCATCTTTTTTAAAATCTGAGTAGAAAACTTTAGAATGGTGAATATCGAGATTAGCGCCTAATCCTCTCTTTTTCTAAATATCGAGACTAACCTAATCTTGTACTTGTATCCTGAGAATCCTGAAAAGTGTATAAAATTCAACCATTCAGAGTCGCGTATACGAAGCCGATAAATTAAAAATTTTCCACGCCATTTAAAATTATATACAGAAACGAGAGGAACTCTCTAATTTAAAAAACCGGTTTTTGATTTTACTCTACTAGATATTCAAGAAAGAACGGTTTAAGAAGAAAATCAAAAGTGTGTCCTTTGGATACTCAGATTAAGTAATCGGTATTAAGGATATCTCATTCTAAAGTTTTCAGCTCTGGGAAGATTTGGAGTGATTTATACTGATATTTTTTGAGAATCATTCCGTGATCAATTTATTTTATGAAACATTAGAATAAACATTTTTCCACCCCTACACGAGTCCGCTAACATTTTTTTTGTAGAACATCGCGAATCTCGTTTTTTTTGACACCCTGCATATATTTGACTAAATATTATGATAAAAGGAAATACGTTTTGACATTTATTTGATACATACATGAAGACCCTTGTATAATCATATGTCTACAGAGTGTCCCAAGGTAACTTTGCTGCATCAGGGGTATTAAGTACTGAGGGAAATTTTTTTTTAATAATTACAAAAAGTGTCAAAAAAAGTCCCTATGACAAATTTTACAGAATTTCGTTTTTTTAACTAGCTTAAATTGTTCCCGAGAGTACCCATTGCCTAATACCCCTATAGGTTTTGAGATGCCATGTGTTGATATATATTATATATTTATACATATAGCTATAGATTGTTCAATTATAGGCGATCGCAACTGAGAAGCGAGATGACCGGCGGATATTTAAAGACCTGGAGGATGGTTTTGAACGCGCTAGACAAACCCATTTCAAGGCTAAAGGGCTTGGTCTGGGTTTTTCTTGAACTTGTACCTTGCAACCTTTCTCAGCATTTTTTTTATAAATTTTTGATGAAATAAAAAGAGAAATTGTTCTGTTGGTGCTTCATAATTTTGCGACCTTGCTAGTTAAAGTGAATGTTTTGCGGCGTACTCGTATTAGATACGCTTTTTTAATAATAATGATAATCATGGGTTTATTTACTTTGTGCATAAGGCAAAGTTAAATGATTTTGTATGGTAAATAAACGAATATTGGGGTAACGTATGGATAAGTGCTACACTGGCGTAAATGTTAAAATATTTTTTATTATTTAGATCAATGAACGCGATTAGATTTATCAATTTATGAACTTGAAGAAATTCAACTGTATAAAAGTAAACGGCTTCAAAAGTTTAGGAACAGAGTATGCGTCAAGGGCAATTTTTTCTAGTTTTCAGGCCACTATTTTTTAATCGTAATTTTGCAGCTTTTTCTGTTAAACTGGGGGATTTTCCGTAAACGCCAAATTCGACATTTTCCTTAGGCACAATTATTTATTTTAACCATCCCTAAACTATCACTGGGATCATGTGAGTTGCAACAAAAAAGTTGAGCCCGATTTGTTTGCCTGTTAATATGTTAAAATAATACATATAGAAAATAGACAACAGTAGTTGAAGTGCCCAAGCCTTGCCCTTGAGCTTTAGTGAAAAAAATACTTGCTTACGTATGTTAGCCATAGAGAAGTGTGTAAGTTAGTTGTGGATACCATCTGAGTGTACTATGTAATGTCAGATAGTGAGAGCAATATTAAGTGAAATCAAATTTCTAGAACAATTTGTAACATGTGTCAAATCTATGAATAATATTAGATTTCTAGATAATTCTAGTAAATACTGACTTCTAGAAACCATATTAGTAAAATTAAGCATAAAAGAACTCATGTTAACTGAGTAAAACTAGATTACTATTTAACACAAAATATGTTAGCTGCGAAAAACAATATGTTAGATATTAAGAGCATTATTAGTTGATATTAGCTATTTATGAAAATATCATTGAATGCTAGTTATTTTAAACATTATTAGGAAATGTTAGCTATTTAGAACAATATGAGTAGGTTAGGTACTTAGAGCATTATTAGTGGATATTAGGTATTTAAAACATTATTAGTTGATGTTATTTAAAGCATTTTTTATAGTGGATATTAGCTAATTATTATAGGTGAATGTTAGCTATTTAGAATATCATTTGAGGATGTTAGCAATTTAGAACATTATTAGAGGATGTTAGCTATTTAGAACATTATTAGAGGATGTTAGAACATTATTAAAGGATGTTAGCTATTTAGAACATTACTAGAGGATGTTAGCTATTTAGAACATTATTAGAGGATGTTAGCTATTTAGAACATTATTAGAGGATGTTAGCTATTTAGAACATTATTAGAGGATGTTAGATATATAGAACATTATTAAAGGATGTTAACTATTTAGAACATTACTAGAGGATGTTAGATATTTAGAACATTATTATTGGATATTAGGTATTTAGAACATTATTAGTGGATATTAGCTATTCAGAACATTATTAGAGGATGTTACCTATTTAAAACATTATTATAGGAGGTTATCTATCTAGAACATTCTTAGAGGATGTTAGCCTTTTAGAACATTATTAGAAGATGCTAGCTATTCAAAACATTTTAACAGGATGTTAGCTATTTAGAACATTATTAGAGGATTTTAGCTATTTTGAACTTTATTAGAGGATATTAGCTATTTGAAACATTACTAGACAATGATAGTTATTTAGAACATTATTGGTGGATGATAGTTATTTAGAACATTATTGGTGGATGATGGTTATTTCTAACATCATTAGAGGATATTAGGTATTTAAAACATTATTGGTGGATGATAGCTATTTAGAACAATACAAGTGATTGTTAGGTAATTAAAGCATTATTTGTGGAAGTTAGCAATTTATAACATTATTTGTTTAATTTAGCTGTTTTTTACAATATGTCAGCTGCGTTAAACAAAATGAGATAAAACTTAAAACAGCATGTGCATGTTAGCTATCTAAAGCTGTATAATAGCTGTGTATTGAATATGATATGATGAATTAAATAAATTTTTAATTGAATTTAATATTAAATTTGATATTAAAAGTGGGTAAAATTGTTTTCGTTGAAGTATTAAATGAGTGAATGAAGGAAAATAATTATTGTTTTAAAGGGAGTGTTCGCGAAAAATGAAAGGGGGTATAGGCTTACGGCGAAGAATAGTCGCTTTTGATCGCTACTAATCTTACTTCTATCTGTTGCGTTTGTAATGAGAAAATTGTTAAAAACGACCTTTATTAAAGAACGTAGCGTCCATACAGATTCATTAAGTTGCAATATACGACTCGTATCGTAAAATAATCAATTTAATTTCAAACAATTATTCAGATATTACAACCTATAGTCATCGATTATCTTTCGACGCATTCTTATATAGTTAATATTTCATAATATTTGTTATTTGTTATATATAAAATGCACTTAAAATTAAAAAGGACTGAAAGCGTAACTGCAATTGACCCTCCATGCAGAAATGGCAATGCCCGATTCACAATGGTTTGCAACCATGATTTTTGTTTTCTTTGTGGTTTCTACGCAAAAGTGACCTTCGCATTTCTTTCTTATACGAACCACTGGAGAAATGCACAGAAATTAGCACTCTTAGAGTCAGAAAACGGTGGTTTCTTCCACATTTTTATCAGATTGTAAATCGACCACTATACTTTTTTATGGAGAATCACTTAAATTACACCCACAGTCCCTTTAAAAGTAATAAATTTATCATACAATGGATATAAGAGAGGAAGCGTTTAATAAAAAAATTCTTTCTAGACGGACGCTATAGGACCATAGAACGATTATATAATTTAATCAATTTAGAGAATTTTTATCCCGCATTTTTACTCACAATTACATTATGTTGGGTATTAAAAGTTTCTCATTTGCTCCAAGGCAAATAAGTAATAATTAAAACCGGCAAAGCAGGTTTCCCTTTTTATTTCGCGGATTTCAATCAAAAAATCGAATATTTCTATACAACTTGAACTACATAAATCCAACTGTCTTGTGTTATTATTTGGGAAATTATGTTTTTGTTGTGATTAAAAATCTTGAATCTTTAACAAACAAAAAAAATTAAATTCCTGGCCATAAAACATATTGTCCCGCATGATGACACAATGAAGACAATTGCATAAATAAATAATTTTAATATCCGTGTTCTCAAAGAAAACATGATGATTTATCTCTTATTCCGAAAATTTTTAAAAAGTTGAGCATTTAAACATTTAAACAAGATTTCGAAAATTCAACGAATTCATTTTGGGACACCCAGTATATTCATTTTGGGACACCCAGTGTACATTCATCTTGGGACACCCAGTATATTAATTTTGGGGCACCCAGTACATTCATTTTGGGATATGTTGGGATACCCAGTACATTAATTTTGGGACAATTTAGGACACCCAGTATATTCATTTTGGGATATTTTGGGACACCCAGCACATTCATAATTATAACTTGCAAATTACTTGTTAAAAACAAGTGTTTTTTCTAGTCAATTATTAGGTAAAATCAAACGCAAAGGCGTTGCAACACCTAAAAATCGACCAAGTCTTGAAAAGATTGGGGTAACATAAACCAAAAATTTAATTCATTTTAGATTGAAAATTAACATAAGTCTTTCTAGATTCTCTATAGATTTTGGATTATTTATAATTTAAGATGTAGTTTAATAGTGAGAAAATGTTTAAAACGTTCTTTGCATGTATATAACCCGGGTTCTTTGCATGCATATAACCCGGGTTCTTTGCATGTATATAACCCGGGTTCTTAGCATGTATATAACCCGGGTTCTTAGCATGCATATAACTCGGGTTCTTTGCATGTATATAACCCGGGTTCTTTGCATGTATATAACCCGGGATCTTTGTATGCATATAACCCGGATTCTTTGCATGTATATAACCCGGGTTCTTAGCATGCATATAACCCAGGTTCTTTGCATGTATATAACCCGGGTTCTTTGCATGTATATAACCCGGGATCTTTGTATGTATATAACCGGGGTTCTTTACATGTATATAACCCCGGATCTTAGTATGCATATAACCCGGGTTCTTTGCATGTATATAACCCGGGTTCTTAGCATGCATATAATCCGGGTTCTTTGCATGTATATAACCCGGGTTCTTTGCATGTATATAACCCGGGTTCTTTGCATGCATATAACCCGGGTTCTTTGCATGTATATAACCCGGGTTCTTTGCATGTATATAACCCGGGTTCTTTCCATGTATATAACCCGAGTTCTTTGCATGCATATAACCCGGGTTCTTTGCATGCATATAACCCGGGTTTTTTCCATGCATATAACCCAAAGTTCGTATGTCGAGGCCAAAAGTAAATTATTCAATTTATTTTGAGATTGAAATAGTTTTGGTAAAAAGAAAAAAGTCGAAGCATGCCGATTATGGTTTAGGTATTTCTAAGGCCGTATGCAGGAATTTTTCCAGGGCGGGGAGGGCTTAATTTTTTTAACTTTTTAGGAAGGGGGGGGGGGTAATCATAGTTTATTCTCAAAACTCTCCCAGTGATATAAAGCACTATTCGAAAGGGTTGGTTAACTCGGTGGAACAGAATCTAATAAATAATATTTACATAAAAACAGTTGTCCGGTTGTATCGTTTCCCAACCTGTGGTTAATTTCATTCTTCTGAGATACTTGAGAACCATTTAGGATATTAGTCAAGGTGGGGCGGGGATATTAGTCAGGGGGGATATTAGTCAAGGGGGGGGATACAGGGCGGTTATAAAGAGAAAAGGAATCATTCAGTGGTAGGCGATTATATCAATATAATAAAGACGACTTTTTATTTAAGTTTTAATTGCTAACAAGATTTTTTCGGAAATTGTAAGTTTACAAGTAGTTAAAAAAAGAAGCTTTTTTCATTGCTTCTCATTGCTCCCATGTTTTTGTGTATCCATGCTGTTTAAAAGCTTGATATGAATCAAAATTGAAATCGAAAGTATTCTTTATTATATTGATAATAGGAGAAGATCATATTTTATTATCTTTGATTTGAGTCTATAATTTTGTAATCTTCTATTTGGTTTTTAGGACAACGAGCCAGGACAAAGCCATGAACAGGATAGAGGACAAGAACAGAAACAAGGACAAGAACAGTTGCATGAACAGGAAAGTGATCCTTACAGACTTCCGCAGGATCGATTTGATGGACGCAGAAAACGATTCCGATCGAATCAGGAACAAGACAGAATTACGGAACAGGAACGAGAAAGAATTACGGAACAGGAACGAAAAAGAAATACGGAAAAGGAACGAGCAAGAATTACGGAACAGGAACGAAACAGAATTACGGAACAGGAACGAGTGAGAATTACGGAACAGCAGGATCCATTCCACAAATATTTTTCGGAAGAAAGGAACGAACCATCTTTTGCGAGACTTATAGCAGATAATTGGGAAGAGGAGGAGAGGGAGGGGGAAAAAATAGAAACGACGGAACCAACTAAAACTATAAAGAGCGGGTTTGTGAACTGGGATACAGAGAAAGAATGGAGGGAAATCCGAGAATTGGAGAAGAAGGAGGAAGATAGAAAGAAAATTGAGGCTTGGGAAGAGATGAGACAAAACATGGATAAGGAAATTATTATCAAAATTACTATTATCAAAATCTGAGCCATTTTTTAAATATTAAAATTTTGGTTTTTGGTTTTCAGTTTTCAAACCTTTATGTGATCGATTGGATTTCTTTAAATTTGATAATGGTAAGATTTAGAGAAAAAGAACTGAAAAGCCTCAAATAAAGGGAAGGATGAGAATCCGCGAAAATCTGCCAACACGCTTCACCGAGCAGGAGAGATCCACACTACAACAGGGATGATACAATCTGTTAAAAAATGTTGCGTAAGATTGCGTAAGTGCTGCGGTGCGTCATGTTGCAAAAAATAAATTATGGTTTAAAGTTTGTTGGAAACATATGCAGACTTTCACCATTTGATAAATACAGAGGATTTAGGAATATTTGTATACATATTTAAATTTTAGATTTTTGGAAAGTTTAGCGTCATTTTTTACATAGTCTTTCGTGTCTTATTTGGTATTTTTTATTGCTAGCCAAGATAAGCCTGAGGCTGCCGACAAAAAATGAAAAATGCGAATTGAGTCAAAACTACTCGATATTTACGTGAACACTTTTCGAAAAAAGTTCGGAGACCCATTTTTTTTATCCTAACGGAGGGGGGGGGGCGTACTGTGGGAACAGGCAACGACGATATGTACAAGGAAGACATGTACAAGGACGAGGATAACATGTACAAGGACGAGGATAATATGTACAAGGACGATGTTCCCCCCTACTGGACTGAACGAAATGGAGGCAGATCTGATGAAAAATCTTAGCATTTCTAAAAAGTAGACTTAAAAACTTGTTTTAACATGAAAATTGTTATTTTTAGAAATTTAAACGGTGGCACTTACAACCCTAAGAGTGCTTGGCTTCTGGTAGATCAGAGAAGACGAGTCCTGCCGGATATAGATGTAAACAAACATTTCCGATCTGTAGAGAAACATATATGGGAGGATATAAGGAACTTTCATACCGGAATACAGGTATTTTAATCTTTATACTGTGGTTAGGAACATGACAGAGTGTCCCATGATGCATGAGAGTAGCAATACGACTTAAAGTTCGTCTTTTAATAATTTGCAGCATTTATTCGTATACTTAATTTTAAAAGCAAAAAATACAACTAATAATCACAAAATTGAAAATACCCCTGGTCTTGGCATCTGCAAAATGTGCCCTATACCTTGTTTGTGCTTTCAACAATTAGCGGTTTTCAATATTCATAATATCTTTATTGATACTCAAAAAAAGGCAGACCACATTTTGGAAATTTCAAGACTAGAAATTTTTTTGTTATTTTTCTAAAAATCATACATTTAGATTGACGACTGAATGCCGCAAATAATTTTTAAAGATCAAAGACGATCGTCACGTTGTTTTGCTACTGTCAAGGTTTGTGGGACACATGTTGTAATCTGTTTTCTCACATTTTCGTTAGTTTACATTTTTGGCGCTTTTTTTAAAAGTTGACTGTTTTCATGAAATTCCTCCATCAATGAATTCATTCTATCCATTATTCATATACTGTCATATAGTAAACCTCTTCGCTCATTTATATTTATCTTTATGTTAGCTATAGCTGAACAAACACTGGATTGAATTGGCTGACATTATTTGACGAAACTTATGCATGCTAAAATATCGAAATATATATTTTTGTTAATTACACGGGCAACGCCGGGCACAATTCAGCTAGTCTTTTTAAATCTATTTTTCATGAAACGAAAATATACTTAGTGTTTTATTTTTATAATTCCCTTTGATCCACAGCTTTTAAATATCATTATCAATTGAAGAAAAAGATACCAGGGACGAGAACTGAGTGTTTTAATTGAAGAAAAATTCATATTGAAAAGAAATTTGGATTATCCAGATTTGTTTTTTTCGTTTGTAATGCAGTGAGAGAGCCATAAACCTGTGGAATTAAGCAATGGTGTTATAAAGAAAGTACATGGTGTCCCACAAAACATGAAAGTTGATAAATTTTTATAAATGTCGTCTTCATTATACTGTATTAGATATTAAAGGCTTTTTGAAGTTTATTTCGTTAAAAAATTCTTTTGCTTAAATATATTTTACTTTGTAATCAATTTTGATATAACATGACTCCCATATAATATTTTTATTATTGTATTTGGTATTCAGCAACTTAACCAATTATGAAAGAAGACATTCTAAACTATTCACCAACTAGCATGTTTCGTGGGACACCCTGTAGTTTTTTACCAGTAGTTTTAAAATCAGCTAACTAGGTATAGAGTATAGACAACTTTATTACTCAATTTAAGAATCTAAGTATTCCAATAAACTAGGGATGTTAAGGTTTTCAAGTTTTTTGAAAAACGATCGTTTCGTTATGAAAACGACGACGAAAAATCGAAAACGAAACGAAATGAGACACAGTAATTTGTGCAATTTCAAAAAGGATCATTTCACCTTATAAGTTGGTTTTCTAGTTGCTTCTGAACTAATAGCTCTGTAACCACATTAGATGCACTAAATTATTACATAAATGTCGTCTTCATACTCCAGAGTTGTTTGGTCGTCACTATAAGTAAAGTGGGGTTACTACGGTTCATTTTGAGTACAGGCTCGAATTTTAAGCAGAATAGAATAAGCTGTACAGACAGTACAGTACACATGACACACTATATAAGGCAAAGCGGGAAAGTAAACCAAATAAGCCACTCCCTTCTCGTGAAATGTATATGCATTGTATACACTGCACAACTATGCTAAAGTTCATTTGAATATTTGAAATCAGAATTTATTCTATAAAGTCGTCTTTTTGTTCCGAAGTTTTATGGGTCCCACTGTATAGGACGAGTTCATGACACCTGATCAATATAAGAAGATAAACGAAATAATGGGAACAGACAACGACGATATGTACAAGGAAGACATGTACAAGGACGAGGATAACATGTACAAGGACGAGGATAATATGTACAAGGACGATGTTCACACTGAGGATATGTACACGGACGATATGTACATAGATACCATCAACAAGGAGGACATGTACGATGAAAAAGCGTACAAAAATGAACAAGACAGTGCAGTACAACAACTGGACCGTGTGCAACTTTTGAAGGTATAATTTTAATTTATTAATTTAGAAGTTTTAAAGGAGGAATGTTGCTCAAAGCATAGCTACACTTTCAAGCGATTAAAAAAAATCACTTTCAATGAATTAAATTGTGGCCATTCCTTTCTTCCAGAAATATCTACAAAAACTAAGTTACAGGGTGTCCCAGAAACAATGACGACCTTTATATTGTTTTATTTTCTCGCCAACATACATAAACACGTATTCCAGTTTAAACAATTATCATTATCAGTCTCTTAGATCTGGGATTTCCAAAAATTGTGTTCTTTTAGATACAAAGAGGCTAGATCCTAGATACAATTAGAATAGATTACATTTCCGTCCTTTGGCGGTTATATTTGAAGGGGTCTTGATTTCCACGGAATGATGGTTGATCTTTTATTTATTTATTTATTTATCTAAGCATAAACAATACTTGCCGCGACTTTTTTATTCAATGTACAGTGGAGTAGTACAGAGCTAAATTCATATTTTCAATTTTAACTTAAACAGTCCGGTATGGTGAAGACGACATGAGCTATCTAGTCTAATTTATGTAGGGGTTAGATCATATTCAGGAAAACTAAAAAATTACAATTTTGTAACAATTTAAATAAAAAATTAAAAGATTATTGGCGTTCATAACCTCTCATTTTTCATGGGCTAAAAGATAAAAGTTAATTTTTATTGTATTGGGACACCACACCATGTAAAATTGAAGGAAAATAGCTACCATAATTTAATAAAAAACAAAATAATATTAAGTATAAATGTATTGAAACAAAATTCTTGTTTGTACTATGTGTAAATGTGTGTACTAAAAGTACAAAAAAGAAAATTAGAATTAGTGAATTAAATATTTTCTACTTTTTTGTTTACATGTATCGATTTCTTTAAATGAAATTATTATGTTTTTTAAACAAAATTTTAGAAATTTGATATAAGCTTCAAGTTTCTAAATGTACTTTACAAGTGATGGGGGGGGGGGGTAATCATAGTTTATTCTCAAAACTCTCCCAGTGATATAAAGCACTATTCGAAAGGGTTGGTTAACTCGGTGGAACAGAATCTAATAAATAATATTTACATAAAAACAGTTGTCCGGTTGTATCGTTTCCCAACCTGTGGTTAATTTCATTCTTCTGAGATACTTGAGAACCATTTAGGATATTAGTCAAGGTGGGGCGGGGATATTAGTCAGGGGGGATATTAGTCAAGGGGGGGGATACAGGGCGGTTATAAAGAGAAAAGGAATCATTCAGTGGTAGGCGATTATATCAATATAATAAAGACGACTTTTTATTTAAGTTTTAATTGCTAACAAGATTTTTTCGGAAATTGTAAGTTTACAAGTAGTTAAAAAAAGAAGCTTTTTTCATTGCTTCTCATTGCTCCCATGTTTTTGTGTATCCATGCTGTTTAAAAGCTTGATATGAATCAAAATTGAAATCGAAAGTCGTCT